CTCAATTAATATATTGTTTTTGTTGATTGAAAAGAAACATTGGTCACGTTTTTCTTTGAATTTTTTACTAATTAGGCCAGAGTGCAATTGCTGCTGCTACATTTGAGGATGAAGCAGCTTTAGATGATGATCCTGAACTGTTGGATCTTAGAAACAGGGAGAGTTCTGGTAATTTAATAATTTACTACTAAATTTTCTTAAATATTATATAATTGATGGCATGTATTGTTTTAGAATTTTAATGGTTTATCAGTATTGAATTAAAGGAAGAATTGAATATGATATCTTTTTTTTTTTCATTTTATTTAATTTATAGGTTTTGAATTACATTAAGAGCATGACCTAGTGGTTAGTATCCTGGTCAAGGAATTGAAGGGCCCATGGTTTGTGTCTATTTATTGCAAACTCATTTATTGGATTTTGGGACCATGGGTGCATTTTATGAGTGACGGTCAAATCCCATCATTTGATTAGAATAGCTCAAGAGTTGGTGCTGCCTTCCCTCTAAAATATTATTTCCACATTAGGGTTGGCTAATGCATTTAATCCATGTGTAGCTTTGCATGAATATCCAAAATATACAAACACAAAATGCATTGAAAATCTGAGATAAAATTACAATAGTTTTTCTTCAATAATGAAGTTAATCTGAAATTAAAGTGATTATAGAATTCTGATATGATTACTTACTTCCTCTCACAGTTGCAACTATTCTCGATTTGACTGTCCTCTAGTGTGCACATTTTTGCTCACTTCTAGCCTTGAAGGCCCACCTAATTTCAAGTGTATACCATGTGGTTCAGCTGCGTTTAAGCATGCGACAACCCTCCACCAATTGAAGTGCGACACACTCTCCTGTCACAGTTCACTTCCTCTACACAGTTGAACCTAATCTTCATATTTCGATTTGGCACATCGGTGTTAAGACATGCTGCTTGATTAAGACATTTTTTTAGTGCATTTTGAAAATATTCAGTTACTGATTTTTAGCCTTTCAAAGTATTGTTTATAATCCACTATCGAGTTGGATTTCTTTATTTAATTGTGAATTCTATTCTTACTCAATTACTAGTGGTAAGTCAATATTTTAGGATTCAAAATTTACTATTTCGACTATAATGGCTACTGATGGTACTGGCATTCAACAACCCATGACAATGGCTACAGATGCGTTGTTATTGGCAGAGGAAGTGTTGACCATAGTTCGTCGGGAGATAGCTTATTTCATGTGGGCTGAGGGATCTTCTGGTCTAGAAGCAATTTTGCCACTACCTGAAGACTGATTTCACAGAAATGGGGAGACATTTACTACCATCCCTTGGGTCATTTGAGTTTTGTCAGAAGGACTCCTCCTCCTTTTCCCCACACCTCCCATCTCTATTCCCTGTCCTAGTTCCTCCCCACTCTTAAGATCCCGTTTCTCACTAGTGTCTCACAGAAGCAGTTCCAGTTCTTCTCATCAAAGGTGCCATCAGACAGGTTTCTCTTGTGCCTCCAGGGTTCTTTTCATCATCCTCAAGAAGACCAGGGATTGGTGTCCTGTGATCAATCTATCTCATCTGAATCACTTCCTCGACATACCTCCATTCATGGAATCCTATCTCTCAGATGGGCCTTTCTTCCTGGGCTTTTGATGACAAGATTTGACGTGTCCAATTATTATCTTGGTGCCTCACATTGTTTTCTATGTTTTGTCTGCAAGGATCACATTTATCAATTCCAAGCTCGTCCTTTTGGGCTGGAATGGGCACCCTACAATTTCTGTCGGGTGGCCCAGTTGTTTCCCAATTCTTTCCTTTTCACGGGGTCAATTTCCATCATTTTATGGTTGACTGGCTTCTTTTGGCACCATCCTTTACAAAGTTTTCCTTACACACTCAACTTCTTCACAGAGAAGCTGATTGAATGGGTAGGTTTATCAAGGTGGGGAAGTCTGTTATCTATCTCACTCAGTATCTTGTTCACCTGGGAGTGTTTTTAAACTCAAATCTTTGTTGAGCCCAGTCTTCTCCACTTCATCTGTGATCCATGCAATTTTTAGTTCAGAAGGTACTATTAGCACCTTCTCTCCCTGAGAGGTTCTGTCTCTTTTTGAGATTTGGGCATCAGTGGAGGCTCTTATCCATCTGGGCGATGCCCACATGCATTCCTTGCAGTGGGTACTACAAGTTCATTGGCATTTCATCAGGAACACATTCTCTGGATTTACACATATCCCTTCCTGCTTCTCTTCAGTCCGACTTCCACTGTTCCCAAACTCTGTCTTCACACATAGCTTTTGTCCAATCCCTTGCAAGAGATTTGGGACTATCCACATGTATAGCATCCCCATTGTCTCACACCGTCCGTTCCTCATCCATGTTTGTGTATCGACGTAAGTGGAGAATATTCCATTGTTAGTCTATCCAGCATGGATTCTCCCCTTCCCTTCTTCAGATATCTGTTTTTACATGCTTGTTTGACAAGGATCTGTCATTTTCAACTATTGAGGGCTATTGGACAGCCCTGTCATCTCCCTTTCATTTTTTTTTGTTATTGTTGTATGTTTTCCTCTCCATTTATTTCCCTTCCTTCCATATCCCATAATAACTTCTGCTCTGATCTGGTCCATGCTTTACAGCATTATGTGTTGTGCACAGCACCCTTTTGAGGCTCTCACTCCCATTTGTTTATCCATTGGAAATTGTCCATTTCTTGTGATATTTCTTCTATCATCATTACTGGTTGGGTTTGTCAGGTTATCTGGATCACATATTCCTCCCTTTCTCCTCAATCTTGCCAATTTTCTGTGTATCTGTCACCTCCCAGTGTTCTTGGTTGCTCATTTCCATCAGTTCTTGGTGGAGAGTATCTAGTCCAGCATGTGGACCACTCCCCACATCTTGGTGTCACACTACTTGCACCATCTTGTGTATTCGTACTCAGCTGGATATCATCTTCCCCCTGCAGCCATATGTCAGTACAACTCTGAGTGGGTAAGTTACATTTTGTTTCTTTTTTTTTCAGGGGACTACTTAATATGTTATAGATCCTGCTCTGTGGCGAGTGGTGCCTGTCCAGGTATACTGATATGTAAACTCTACACCGTGAAATCTATAAGGTGTATCATGCACACTGTTGAGATGGGGTGTTCCACAAGATCGCTTGCAGGTTCTTCATTACAATATGTTGTTGTCATGATATAAAAGACTGTTTGGTTTAAATAATAGTGATTAATTTGTATTTGTGAGTGAATATTTTGTTATTTTTAAGTTTTGTTATGATAAGAGTTAAAAGCAGATGCTTGTAGAAGGTTTTGTTAATAACTAATTGGTGTCGAGAATATAGAAAGTGACCAGAAGACTATGTAATAAAGATATAAATAGCATGAGTCAAGCGGGAAGCAGAAGACAGACAGATAATAGCAAAAGAGAATACAGTGGTGTGAAGTTAAGTACCGCAAAGATGATAGGCCTGATGTTTGATATGTTAGAGTGAAACTAACAGTATAAAAATGATAAGAAGGATAATTTTATTCCGTCAAAGAGTGGTTCTAAAGTACTTGAATCAGCCTGGGTACACTTTGATAAAAAGGAACAGAGGATCTTCAGAAAAAAGACCAAGCGAATTACGGTAACTTGTGCCACAACTGTAAGTGAATCACACACAGAATACTAGTAAGATAGTAATATAGAGAAGATAGTTCGTCTTGTCAACTGAAATTCAAAGTAATTGAATAGGCCTAAGCAAACTTTTGACAAGAAGAAGAGAACTATATATAAATAGTGTTTATGATATGTCTGTAATCTCTATAGTGTGAAAACTTTGTTATACATATATTTAACTTGTTTTGAATATATAGATATTATTTGAAAACAAGTAAACTGTATGCTGTTTATTCATCTTTGAATTTATTGCTAACAAGTCACAGACAGCTACTGTAGAAGAATCCTAAGCCAAACAACAACATAGTATATGCTTATACTATTAAGAAATATAAATAAAAGCCATTTATTTCGACTATTGGCAAAAAGAACTTGTATATATTATTTTTAAAATATAACAGTTGTGTCATAAGTATGTTTGTACTGGACCATACACTCATGGACTAACATGAGTAAAGCAGAAATAGATTACTGCCCATCTCTAGCTTTTCTTTGATTGCTGTAATTGAGAATAGTCTGCTTTTCAAAATAGGATTTTGTGGTCACCAGTTGCACTTTCTTTGACGATGCATTCCTCCAGAGCTGCTGGAGTGGTAGATCATGGAGGAATCCTCTTGAGTGAGCACAATTCCACTCTGTCGAAAGTTGGGCGATGGTGTTCTGTCTGTGTAGAAGGCATGAATATTCTTCTGCTGCAGGTTTGATGTTTTACTCCAGATGCAGTTGGCCTGGACTAGATTTTTATATCTATTTTGCAGTTTGTCTCTCCAGCTGGGAAACCTTCCTCCTACTGCCACCTGGATGTTGGTCCCTGGGCAACTGGTTATGATTGGAGCTGGACCAGCCAATGTAAGTCCTCACATATGAGAGGGTTGGAAACTTCCTCCTACCTTGGACTGAATGTTACATCTCCAATGGCAATTGGTTTTGGACTGGAATTGACCATCCACTTTGCATTTCCAACTTCCTGACGTTGTCTGGATGTACATTCCTGGTTTTTATTGTTCCAGGTTTTGTTGAATATGCGACACATGTTGGTTTAGGTTCTCAGTATGGAAGCTCCTCTTTTCTTCTGGTTCCTACACCTGAGGTGAATGGTTGAGGACCTTCCTCCTGCTAGAGGCTGGTCGATTTCCTCCCAGTGCCACTGGTATGGACTGGAGTGGACCTCCTGATTATGGCCCAATACACCCTAGCCACTCTGCACATATTCCTCCTCCTTTTGGATTTGGGATGGATCACTTGTTCTGCCCTTTGATTGTGACACAAGTTGGCTCCACTTGGGTGAAGAGTATACCTTGTTCAGATGTGATGTAGTCTCCCATGGGTGTCTTTTCTCTACATAGAGGTGGCACACTCCATGGGTGCTCTTCAGACACTTTTAAAGGGTGCTCATATAGGTAATTTTACACTGGTCCATCCACCTGTTCAATGTGGGATTTTAGATGTAACTATGAGCAGTGGTAAGTAATTGTATCAGAAGTTAATATGTTCCTACACTGAAAATATATTTTCAATAGATACCTCCTCTCACACTTCTCACACATCCTCCACAGTTCCAGTGTTGTTTTTCTTGCCTAATCTCAATGTGTAAAATGAATCGTGTCTTTTACTTAATTTAACTTGAAAATTTTGAATCTTCATTACTAATATGGAAACAGTTCTAATATATGTATCCGTACTTTCAAAAAGGTCAAAAAAGGTGTTTTTTAATAATCAATAATGTTTTACCAGCCTTCTTAAGAAATATTCAAACAAAAATAAGGAGTACTTTTAGCACGTGAAAAGACTTGTTAGTATAAAATAAAATATTAGCAAGAGCAGCAGAATGGATATAAAAAACATATAATAAACATAAACATACTTTATTAGCTTTAGATTTTCATCTTTATTGAAAAACAAATTATGTGAAGAAGGCCAACAAAGTTGAAGTTTAATCTTTTTTGTCATTCATGTTCTTTATGTCTTCCTCTGTTTATTGCTCTACATTTTATGATGTGCTGTTGTGGATTAGTTTGGACATTTTTTTATTTTTGCTTATATTTATTTTCTTTGATATCTGTAAAATTCTATCCAGTGTAAATAGTTTCATTTACTATAAAAATATAAACATTTATGCTGTACTATAAGATTGAGAAATGGTATGTATCTAACAAGTGAATGCAAGCATGATTTTGTTCTGTAATTTTTTAATGATTTGTATTTCATAATGTAGTTAATTTTTTTTGCAAAAACTTTATACTTATGTCTATTTTAGTTTAATTTCATATATTTCTACAGAATCATTCACAAATGAATTACCTTCAGCTGATGATGCTCACTTAAGTGCTGAATTAGAATCAGAAAAACAGTACTATGAAAACCAAATAGAAACAGGAAGTTTTGCTTCTGTGGATGTTGAAGGAGAAGATATATCAGAGTATTCTAACATCACTATAAGTGGCTGTACTGATGGAAGACTGTCACCATTTGTGGCCCCCGGTTAGTAGCCTTTTGTATTTACAGTTACCTAATATTCAATATAGATGAATTATATTTTTCAGTTTAAATTTTTCTAGCTCATGTTCCAATGTGTTCTTTTTGTGTCTCTGTTGCTTACTGTTTGCCATAATTTATTGAACAAAGCATGGTAAATTTTGCTCTCAATACATTTTTTACTGTCACAAATTCCTGTTTGCTGGGAAGAAGAATATGAAATATTTTGTTTTATGACTTCTTCAGTTCACACAGCATACATTATATAGTAGAACATGGCATGAGAAATAAATGTGCCACAGTATATTCCCATATGTTGTGTTTATTAAACTTTAGTCTGTATAAAGTCCAAAGGATATGATTTGTAAGCATAGTCATTTTACCAGTATTAAAATGACATTTTTTCAGTTCTTGCTTGTTCCATGTTGTTGGTGCTCCCTGCTGTTAATATTTTATTGTGTTAATTTACAGAATTTTCATAGTACATGATCATGAAAAAAACTTCCAAGATCATTTTTTTTACTATAAACACAAATCATTGTATTATTTTTATTCAATGTTATAAGTTATTAGCACATCATAATTATCATTTTTCCAGATTTTCTATTTACAAATTTGAGAACTTTTAGCTAGTAGAAGATTAATTTTAAAAACAGGAAAATTTTTGAACTTGAAGTCAAATGGATTATTAGTGGATATGTGCAATTTTTATTTTTTCTATATGAACATATTTTGGTTATCTATCTGGGTTGAGTTGGCCAGATAGTGAGCTTGCCAAATTGTGAATAAACATAAGGTTTGGGCCACAATATGCTACTGTACTGTTGCATTTTCAACTGTGACAGTAGATCCTGTAGTTTGGTTGACTCTGTTTATGGGAGTATATCCAAGTGGCATTTCACATAATGAACAAAACAACATGAGTATAAAATAAATATTTTTTCCAACTTATAGTTTCAGATTTCACCTGTATAACCTCTAGAACCTCCTATATATATAATAATATATATATATATATATTATTTTTTTTTTCATGTTTTATATGATATTACTAACCGTAGCTATTATCATCAACTTATATAGTCTGTACTATAGTACAATGAAATGTTTAAAATTAAGACAAAAGAAAAATACACATAACTTTTAATATTGCATCAACTAATCATAAAACTTTTCCTTTTGGTTATATTCTTAATTGCATGTCTTTACATTTTCACACGTATATTTTATTTCAATGTTTTATTATCCTTTCCTGTTCATTAGCATTGTTATTTATCTCAACACATGTCAATAGGTGTCCCTGGCCAATATTATGATATAGTGGACAGAGAAACTTTAGCCTTTGGCAAAATGTGGTGGTGTTCACTTATGCTAATCCTTGTGAACCAAGGAGGCATTGGCTTATATAAAAAATAAATTATTAAACCTTTCAAATATGCATCTGAAAACATAAGTAACACATAATTAAGTAAAATATAAAACTAAAACCTAAATATTATCAACTGTTTATCAAACTAATGTATTTCTAGGTGAGTAAAATTGCTAACGTGGCAAGGACAAAAGCAGCAACAATGTTAAGAGTGGTCTGATTAGTTCTCTATATAACTCCTTGTGCCAATTTTAAAATAACTGTTAAGAGAACTTATTTTAAAAAGTGCTCTTACCATTGTTTATAAACATCTAGCTCAACTAAGTATAATTGACTGAGAAATCACAACTCGTGTAGAAATGGGCGTGGCATCTGTCAAGAGTTCGGAGAAATTTATTTCTCCTTTCTCCAAACATGCCCTAAGGAGCTTGAAAGAAGGATGTGTAAACAGAACAATTAGTATAGATTCTTCCTATATATGGAAGGTTAGTATGAGTCAAGACATTTTCAAGCTACAAAGACAAATTTAATGTTTTGTGAACTTGGGGATCAGGAGAGAATAAAACAAAACTTTGACAATTTTTCTTTAAGGTTTTTGAAATAAAGGAAATAAAACTTATATAAAACTTTGAACTATAATCTAAATTTTAATACTGATTTCATTGGCAAACATTGATAATAAATAACTTAATTAAATTTTGAATGTAACTAATAAAATCTTGTAACATGCACAGAAAATGGTACCCATAAGAAAGTAGTTAACAGTAACCATATAGGTTGCTCGTGATGCAGACTAGTTGTAGTTGCCCGTTGTTTGCCAGTTGTGATTAATGTCACAAACTTGCAAATAGAAAAGCCTGCTATTTGCCATAGTGACAATTGGAATCTGTAAAATTGCATTTAATCTTTGTTAAGTTTATTTCTTTTTCCCTTGCTGATTGCCTCATTGTAATCTGTATTTGTACTTTGTTTTATGGAAGTAAATAGCACTGATTGAGTTATAATAAATTTGCTGTTTGATCTACCAGAATCACTTCTTTGCAGGATATTAAATTCTGAAAACTAGTGTGTTTTGATTGGCATTCTTTTGACTCAGTATTTTCGAGTTTCAATGGCAACCAGGCATTGTTGCATAGGTTATACTAACTAATTGATGATTGGATTACGAAATTTTGAATCATTGACCAAACCTATTGACTGTTACACTTATAGAGCCCTTGATATTTCTGTAATTCTACATTTTGAAAAATATTTTGAATTTTGTGTTTCATTTATAGCATTTGGCTGATAACAAGACTGGAATGTATCAAAATTGGTACAATACTTAATTGTATTCCTTTTAACCCTGTTACCATAGGTATCCTTTACTGCGCATGACACAAGATGTTAGTGTCTTACTTTCAAAACTTTATTAAACTACTTTTTGTTTATGTTATACCAAATAGAATAACATAAAAGCTTAGCTAATGATTCATATATTAATAGTATACAAGTTTTAGATTTTTAATTCTACAAGGCAATATTTTTAAAAAATCCTGAATTTCCACTAATGTGACCCACATGACCATTTTCTCTTAGCATGTCGTCATCCCCATTTTATCCATCACTCCTCGAAAAAATATGTAATTAAACATAAATTACTGTATAAAATCATTATTGCTCAGACAAACCATAATTTTTAGCCTTCAATTTTGTTTGGTTACAGAGTTATTGAATAGAAAATCAGACCCCTCCTGCCACACCCACCTGTTACATCCCCTCTTTCATAATTCGTTAATAGTTCTCTCTTACGTTTTATTATATATTACCTATAACCAATAGAAAGTCAAGGTCTTCATCTATCAAATGACATATTGTATAACAATATATTTTGAACTGTTAGATGTCAGTTTCACTCAGAGTACCACTCTGGGAAAGTTAATAACTAGCTGGATGAATTTGTATCGGCTCTTGTTGCATAGTTAGAAAGCCAGAAACAATTCGAGAGTTAGGGGATATTGTCTACTTTTTGCATGTTATTTGTATATGTTCTTTGGTGTATTATTTAATTGTTTAATGCACTACAACCATTAGTATGAAAAAAAAAGTAGGGTTAAGTATCATCGATAGTCGACAGCAAAAAAAAAAAAGAATACTCCGGTAAGTACTTTGTTTTTCATGTTTATTCTTTATTTATTCTTATAGAAATAACTCAAACAAATAATAATATAATAAAAATATTTCATAACTAGAAGAGATAATTGTTTGCTTTTCTTCTTTATTTATTATTATATGTGTTAAGAAAAATAAGTTTAAGAATAGCAATAATCTATATACATATATAATGTATGATAATTAAAATGTGACTGTATTTTACAAAATACTATTCTACTAAAACACAGCCAAGACAGGTCACTTTGTAATCACTAAAGATCAGTTTTATTTTATTGGATATGGTAACATGAGTGCACGTGCGCCGTGTCATTGTAACTTCTGCCTTGTTAGCTAGGCGTGGCTGAAAGGTCAATATAATAAAAATAACAAATATATATATATAAATATATAATGTTA